GGTCAAGCTCGTTTCAAGTGAGAGGAACTTGTGCTCGACTAGTGTCCTTGTTTGAATTAGCCCACCTTAGGAAAAGAAAACAAATGCAGGTTGAGCTGTATTATTGCCTGTCTTTATCACTATTTTCTACACTGACATCCAAAGGTTACCCAGGACTGATTCAGGATGGAATCCCAAATCTGGGTTAAAAAACCGAGCTGCTCATGTCCAACACTAAACCTCACAGCATCCTCTTACACGGACTGATGTCCAAGTTCACAAATGGTCTTTTTCAGAACTCTTCAGTCAATCAGTTCTTATTTGATCTTTTATTTTATTGATACTATGTTACATTTTTTGAGAGGAAGTTTATTCTGGTCCTTTATCCCTGTGGGAGCAACACCTGCCAATGGTAGAGCAAAGCGACCCAAGAACCTCTTTGGATTTCAGCAGAAATACCAAGAGGCAAAGCACCGCTCCTCCAGCAATTCAGCCAATTCAGGGTTAGAAGCATGGTCCAAGCAGACACTGCAGGGAAATCTTGAGAACTACTCAAAAATTTATTCAGGGCTATAGAGTTAAAGACGCTTTTAGACACAGTGTGTAATCTTGTCAGAGCCGATTAGATCAAAACAAAAGTGATGGGAAGTCTTCCCTGTTAACGTGCAAAAAGCTCTCGTTAGTGCTTTATTATTCACTAGGCTTGCACCTCCATTCTCAGTGACTTTGTCATCACAGAGTATTAATTATTAATGTTGAGCCACACTTTCTTTACAGTAGGGAGAAAGAAGGCATCTTTAACAGAAGCAATTTTCAATTGCATTAAATGGACACTCAGGTTCAGCTGGAGCCGCCTCACTGCTCCAGGGCAGCACTTTGCTTTCCCAACAGCCAATGCCCAATGGCAGGATTTCCTTGCCACTGGCCCAATTCCACAGAGGGCATACGAAAACCACCCAGAGGCTCTTCTGGGACAGCCTGCCCTGGTACGGCGCAGGGCTGGGGTGCAGTGGTCCAGCCAGGCAGCCTGAACCCAGAGAAGACTTGAGCACGGGGTGCAACCACAATCACACCTGGCCTGCCCACAGTGGGGGGCCACAATTCCCTCCTCTGCCTCCAGCCTGCCAAAGCCTCTGCCCAAATCTGGGCTGGTGTCCAAACAGCTCAGGCACAAGGCAAGGTTTGGTCCAAATGCAACCTCAGGCTTAAAATATCATGTAGGTCTACCCTTGGGTTCCTCCCCATCGGCTGCTCAGATATCACCTTCTCTCGCTCCCCAACTGCTCCAAACATCTTGTCTAGTTAAGACACCAGAGATAATGATAAAGCTGGACAAGGCCTCCAGGGATTAAATTATTAACAGATGGGACAGAGAGGATTCCAAATCTCTGATATTTATGCTCATGCCTATTACGCTTCTATAAAAAGCCCATGGATCGCATACATACATCTTACACATGTGCGCTCAACAAGGAAGAGCCGGGCCTCTCACAGCACTTTGGCTGAAACCGCTGCCATTTCACAAGCATTCGGGGTGGAATTCAATATATTGTTGCTCTTTGTTCTGCCTTCGCCAAATAATCAGTTATGATTTAGCTAGGAACTAACCAACGCACACAGACACACACAGAGATGCATGTGTGCCATAAAGAGAAGCCAAACAGGACTTTTTTTTCAGTTTGTTTCAGCTTATTACCCTGCCCCTTAGGACCACTAACATATTTTTAGAAAGTATTGAATTCAGGCAAAGAACACAGGAGAAAAGCATGTCTGTGTGATTCCGCCATCGCGCTACTACCATGGTGGCATTTGACAGCATCTCTGTGTTTAAAGGTTATTTTTTGGATAATCTTCTTTTAAGGTTTATAACATGATGATTAACAGTTGGACTTGATGATCTTAAAGGTCTTTTCCAACCTAAACGATTCTATGAAATGATTCTATTATTTTAAATCACTTGGATGGACACATCTATCTTATTCTATACGCACGGTACTGGTGAGGTTTTGATTTTTTTTGGTTTGGGGTGGAAAGAAAGGGATGAAGAGTTTGGTCTGGTTTTTCTTCCCTCATCTGAAGCAATATATAGGTAGTTAATATTTTTTAACCATGGAATCCATTCCTCAGAAAGCAGGAAATTATTTTTCCACTGCCTTCATTCAGCAAGAAGGCTAAATATTTTCACTGAAACGGAATGGATGCAGTACTGGACTAGACCAATACAGGGCCTGCCTGCTGCATGTCTGCAGAGGGAGGCAATGGAGATGGAAGGGGAAGGTTCTGATTCAAAAAGGGTTCAACCTCTTGAGTTTTGAAGCAGGTCCTCAAAGGAGACACCAGAGAGGAAGGTTAAAGTACTGCTGGGTGAAAAGAAAAGAACTGGGAAAGAACGAACGAAGGAGGAAAACCAGGCTGGAGGAAGTGAAGACGGACGGATAACCCAGAGAATATATATCATCAACAATTACAACACAATCTACAAAATAGCACTCCAGCTCTGCAAAGATTTATGCTTGGGGAATGGAGCCTAGGAAGACAGCCAGGCTGAACTGCCTCACCTACTACCACCATGCACCTGGAAGTCTCTGTGCGGCTCCACAGAGGACCCGGTGTCCCCTTCAGCACAAGGTGTTTGGTCTCCCCAGCGTCTGCCAAGGGGCCGTGAAGTGTTCATGCACAACAGTGCCCCTGGAAGCTCCTTCTGCGACATTTCTGCTGGAAAGTGAGCGGACACTACTGAATATCCATCAAAGTGTAGCAAGTCCAAGCGCAACTGGTCAGAATCAAGACATACAGAGAAGGAAATGGAGGCACTGGGCTAAATTTCCAATTGAGGCACCAAATTGGACTTCAGGAAATTACTCCGCAAGGCCTTGGGTAAATCAGATAACCTTTCCAGCTCTCTGAACATGCCTGAACAACGTTTTTGTATCAATCTGACTGTAAAGAAATCAACAGAGCTAAATTAATGATCCCCTATCACACCTGCAGACATACGGATTGCATTTTAAAGCATTTTTAGTCTGATAGCTTGTTTTGTTTCAAAACAGAAATGAACGATCTGCTTCAGTCGCTCTGATTTTGTTTGCACTGATTTGATGAAGCCAGTGTAAAATCCAACAGTAGACTGAATTTTAAGCAGAATAAAACTCCCTTCCCATCACAGAAACATAGAAAACACAGTTGGACAAGACTACAAGAGATCATCTAAAATATCCCCTCTGCCCCCAAATGGAATCAATTCTACGTAAACATTCCCTCACAGCTCATTTGCCCAATCTGCTAAACCGTGTGCAGCTACAGCCATGCACCCTCTCTGTCGCGCAGTTACAGCACCCATCAAAACGAAGCCTCTGTCTCTGCTGGAATTCTGCTGCTATTAATACTTCAGTTCCCCTAACAGAGCTTATTTTTAAAAAAAATTACATACGATGTAATGGCTCTGATTTTGTAAGTCATCAAAGAACAAGCTTTGCTTTTGATAATCTCTATTTCAAGAAATGCTATAATTTCTCTTTAAACAGCATTTATTTTTCCACATATTCTGTTACTGGTTTGGAATCTCAAAATGTATTTTAGCTCCTTGGGGAAAAGCGCTGGCTATCCACCTCTTAACTACTAATCTGCTTTTTCTATTAAGGCAGTTGAGTCTCTCCTCCCTCAAACTTGTCAGCTATACTGATGAGTCATTAATTGATTTTTTCTCTCTTTTTTTTTTTTTTTTTGGAAACAACTACAGTAGGCTAAAATCAAGCAAGAAGCCTACTGAAGAATTCAATTAACTTCTGGCTTGTTTGGTAATAAATAGTGCAGTATTGTATTCTGCCACTCTTTATTCTTGTTCTAGTGTCTGGAGATTGCCCAGATGTTTCGTCCTCCGTTTGGGTTTTTTTTTTTGCTGCGGAAGGCTTTTGCCTGCAGGCTGTGCAGTGCTAGCCTCTGCTCTCCTGACTCCAGTTAATCTACACGGCTGTCAGAGCTGTCACATGAATGGTGAATCATGGCCTCTCGCTGCAATCACTTCAGCCCCTGGGGAAGTGCTCAGAGCAGGCAGCTGCACAAACCCCCACCCAGGCAAAGTTTCTCCTGGATGAGGATTTTACAAATCAACTTTGAAATAATCGCAAAGCCTGACTGACAGGCCCCTGGTTTTTAAATAACAGAAATTTGTCAAAAACAAATTGGTTGTCTTTCAAACAGACACCCTGTTTGAGTCTTTTTTTTTTTTTTTTTTGCCTTCTCCTTCCTTTGCTGACTTTCCTATTTCCAGACAACAACTGGATCCATTTTCTTCTAAACAAACTTGAATTACAAAGGAATGTTGTTCTGCTATACTTAATAGATTTGCACATTTTTCCCTTTCTTCTTTAGTCTTTCCCAGTATAACATATAATCCTTTGCACCTGCAAAAGCTCCACAGACTGCTGACTGCCAAGAATCCACCACGTGACCCTGCTTCCATGACCAGAGATCCTGTGTTTAAAGAGAAAGGAAAATAAAAAGTTATTAAATGTTTGAATCTATCTGATCCCCATGCGAGTTAACTCCAAGGATGGGAACTTAAGTGAAAAGCTATTTTTGTGGCATTTTTCAGTGATGTAATAAGTGATTTTTCCCAAGGAACTTGTGTACTTGAACTAGCAGATGGAGTGAGAAAGATGTCTGGAACTGAGGAGGGCTTGAAGCAAATTGCTTTCAGGGATTTCATATGTATGTATTTAAGCCTGTGGCCATGCAACTTTGCAAATATTTTCTGAATTTATTTTCTTTTTGGTAGATAAAACAGTGCAAAGCAAAACACCGAGCAGGGGGGCGGCATGCCAAGAACCAGTATCAGTTCAGTCCGGATATACCAAACACTCCCATTTAAAATGAAGTCCCCAGCAGAGCGAGATAGAAGCCCTGCTTGCCCTCCTGCATTTCTTAAACAAACCCTTCCCCTCGCACTCCCCAAAAAACCCCATCGTTAAGAAATTACTCTTATCTTATTACTCCCATTATATCCGAAAGCAGGTGTGTCTCTGTTTTTCACTTGGCGTCATTAGGGACCACACACCCTTCTCTCCACTGCTCCCACACACCATGCTCCAATCCATTTAACTCACAGCATCCTTGAAACGTGCACATTTAAAAACGCCGACAAGATCGGTGCCTTCTAAAAAACACGTATCAAGAATCATGTCAAACAGTCTGAGGAGTCAGATCGGTATCAGCAACAAAGGCCAAGGTGTGCTGGGATGGTTTCTATTATGCCAGCTACAGTCACTTTGTTCTCTCCTCCTCCACCCCGTTCCATCACCCCTTTCCCATCTCCTGAAATGCTTCGCACTGGAAGTTCTCTGGAGGAGAAGTTTCTTGTTTATGATGCGAGAACCAGTGCTGAGCAAAAAGGAATGGGATCCATGGCCCTTCTGAGGCCTACCGCAGAGGAATCGGTAGTTTTATTTTATAGCTGTGGCACCATCTCATTCTTTTTAAAGCCATACTACTTATATACTATAAAGTTTTCTTGAAAGCAACCCGACAGCTGTGCTAGGCTGAGATATTGCTCTTGGGCTCCCGCTCTGCAGTACAGGCACTTTCCACCAGGACAGGAGAAGTTGTTTCCCTCATTTGCTGACTCTTCATTTAACACGCTGTCCTCGTGACTTGCTTCTTCCAGCTTGGCTGCTGGTTATATTTCAGCTGAATGTTTTAAAAATCAAACTGTTCAAGCAACAATGGCCAGCCACAATGTTGTTTGGTATCCTGCCATAGCTAAATAGCTGCAGCTCTGCTGTATGAAAGCACTAAAGGGATTTCAGTCTCTTTAATGCTAGCCATTCTTTTCCTAGTGTTTTCAGTATGGGCTTCTATTCTGCTGTCACCCACAGCAGATTTCATCCTATAAATAAATAAATAGGGATTCATAGTTCTTCAAACCCATAAGATGCTTTTCTGGAATGACTTACACTCTTTGGACACACAGTTTTCTTGCGAGTTGGTCCCACTGGATGAAGGACACATGGCCCCCAAGACAAAGGGTGCTATGCTCCAAAGCACCTAGGTATTGTCAAAGCACAAATCCCACCTCCAAATCCCATTTTCAAAACACTTCAGGTGCTTAAGAAGTCTCAAATTGAAAGCCAGGGTTTAGAAATTTAACTGCTGGAGCCACTTTATAAAACCAGAATTACTGTATTTTTAATTAAATGTTCTCCAAACGTGTATACATCTACAACTATACCTGAGAACTCAGAACAACAACTTCTGTCATGCAAAAAGCACTATGGAAGATCTGCTGGAGGACTACAAGGAAAACCAGCACATTAATACAGACATTCACGGCTTTGCCAGAAGCCCAGCCAGTTCTCAGTCATGCTGGGATTTTATGATAATGGCACTGTCCAAAGGAGTACGAAAAGGTCATTCTGATTTGTTGGCATATAGCTCTGAAACCTAGTTTCTGATAAAGCCTGGCTTCCCAGTACAGTTCTGCATAAAGAGCCTTTGCCAAGCAAGGCAAATGGTAATGAATTCCCATCCGTTATGTCTGCAAATTGACAACAGGTATTTGCAACAGTCATTCAATACAGAAAATTGTTTAGAAGGGTGGAGCCAGGAACAGTTCAATTAAATTAGGAAAAAGGAGAATTGAGGCTAGAGAACAGGAAGAAAATTCCCCAACAGTGAGGTCTACTGAACAGCAGAGCCAGCCTCCCCAGGGAGGAGAGGAAAGCCCTCTCCTTTGAGTCATTTGAAAATAGACTGGAGAAGGCACTCAAGACTGTACTGTGGGGAATAATCCTGCATTGGCAAGGGCAGGATGAGATGACTTCATGCGTTTCTTTCCATCTCTGACTTCGGTGATTCACCCAGAGCTCCAAACCTGAACATGCAGAAGAGCAAGAAAAAAGCGGGGCATGAGGACATCATCCCGGAGGAAGCCGAGAGGAGCAAATGTCACAGAACCAGGAGGACCAGCAGGACTCTGGACCAAATTCTTTCTAACCACAGTCATGCTGCAGGCCAAGCTGATGTGCTGAAGGTCACACATGTTTTCTCTCATAGCCCATGGACCCACTAATTGACAGACTTTGTGGTAAGCTGGGCTTGTAAGTTCTTCAAAAACACTCTCCTTTGTGCTGCACTGAGCATGGTTTTAATACTACGCACATAGGGCAAAGCACAAAAGCCATTAGAGGCTTGTAGATACAGGTAACACCACCACCACTGTAAGACCGGGGCCACATTCTTGAAATACTGGGTTTATACACATTTCCCCAAAACACTAACTTTGGACAGAATTGCTGGTTATTAGCAGTGATGCAGTGCCTAGATTACGCAACACCATCCTAGATGCTGCACAAATTCAGTAGAGCCTTCCCACAGTCACTTCCAGTCAGGGGATAAGGGCAAGAGCTCAAGTCACACAGAAGATGGCTATCGGAGGCAAGCTCGGAGCCCATGGGTCACTGCTCCCTGCTTGGGGCCTCCAAACAGGGCAGAAGTGGCCACGTAGCATCTGCAGAAGCCCTGCAAATTACACTGCTTTTCCTACACATGCTCTTTCAATAGAAAACATAACTGGGAATTATGAGCAACACAACTGCAACAACTGGATCAGCCTGGTTGCCCCACCACGGCCAGCTAACGGCTCCTACCTGCTTACACTGTGCTCCTCCTGCAGAAGGCAGCAGGAGATAACGGGACTTTTCCCGGGCAATACCCATTCCCACTAGCATTCACAGCCTAGGAAAGCAAAATGACGAGGAGCACATTACATGAAAGCGGGCCGCCATGCCAAGCCTGTGTCATGTGTATTCTATTAAGCTGAAGGCTGAATAGAAGACTTTGTTTTCCACTTCAAAGGACCCCATCCCAATCTCTCGCTCTTCCCTTATGAATAACAAATTGGAAATAAATCTTCTGGCTGAAGCGCATGGAAACTCGTACAGTTGGGGCCCTCTGCAGCTTCCCAGCTCAATCACATGCTAATTTTTTTTGTAAACACTTTTATGTGATATATATGTAAATCTCGCTGTGCATTGCCGCACCGTGTAAAGCAATACAGCGGGCCTGTCCTCAAGGGATGGGACACAGTGGGAAACCTGAATGCAGATTTCCAATTATTCACAGGGATAATGTTCGCAGAGAAGGGTCAAGTTTTACACATGGGCAGAACCTTACTCTTCTTCCTAACAACCCCATTTCATACTGTCCCATAGGCCAGTGTCCTCCGCTTCTCATCACAAATGTTATTTAACGCTTTTGATACTGAGAATAAGAGGACACTCATTTTGCTGGGCAGAAGGCTTATTGGAAAAGTCACTCTTAGGATATACCAATGGCCTTTTAATCTAAAAAAAACAATAGGAAAAAGAAAAGACGACCACGTTTTTAAAGAGGGGGGGGGGGGGGGGAAGTATATGGTGCCCACAAACGTGGGCTCCTCCCATGTTAAGGACACCTGGCCTCCAGATGGCCAGTGACCTTTGACTAGTTCACCCAACTCCTTACCTCTGCGTGCCTGTCACCTTTGCCTTATGTTTGTGGTAAAAGTTTGGGGTAGAGATCATCTGTCAGCTTTGTGCTCCCAACGCAGTTGGGTCTTGGTCTATGTTCAGGACACCTAAGCTACGGCGACCCTGGGAAAGCGCAACGCTCGCATCTCTCTCAAACCTGATGACCAGACCAACAGCCCAAATGCTGCAGGAAGCATCGCAGAGAATAAGACATCTCTGCCTTGGCCTTGCTATCCCTCAGACACTAAGAGGCTAGCAGACCTCATGGCATACACTAAACTTGAGGCCTGCAGCTGAGTAAACACTACAATTCACTCCAGTGATAAGCATCTGCAGTATTTCTACGTACCCCTCTGTTCAAGGCAGTGTTCAACTTCATGATAACAGAGGGGAGAAAAATCTCTCCAAATTAATCACATGGATTTGTGTGCACGTGCAGTCCTGCAGACTGAGGAAAGAAAAGCAATTTCCATGCTTGCCTTCGCTACTACATATTTTACTTGCAACGTGGCATTCTGCATGGCTGATCCTTACAGATGCATGGCACGTTAGCTACAGGAGAAGCAAAAAATTCATAAGCTGATTGCAGCTTCCATACATAAAGTCAAAAAGCATAGAGCCAAATGCCCTCCCCCATGAATTTTTACGTGCATATGTGCAGCATATGTGCAGTACATGTGTATATTATCTTGCAGGAAACATGGGAGCCCAAAGATGGGAAAAATTCAATGATCTAAGTTCACTGTTGACATAAACGTTGAGACTCCATTCACATTAATGGAGTTGTGCTCACTTACACCAGTACTGAATTTGGCCCTGGAATTAAACCCACACAAATCCTAGATAAATTGAGAGGAAGAGAACAGAAGTTGGCCTACGTGCAACAACGTATTTTTCATGGTAAAAACATTTCATTCCCTTTTTCTCCCTATATAATACTGCGTTGATGTCTGTGACCCATTTGGACAT